TTCTATTTGAGATCCCTTTCGTTGGGCAATATAAAAACGCTAGGACTAATAGGGTTTGTGTGCTAGGACTAATAAGGTTTGTGTGATGGAGTTGAAGAAGACGGTGCTAGGGAAGTATAGGTTTTGTGATGGTATCCAAACGATTGATAGGTTTATATTGTGAGTGAAGGTCGTAACCAAGAAGGCGATAAAGTTCTAATCAAGAAGATTGATAGTGAATTATACAACTATAATCACATGGTCCGAGAGGTTGAGCTCATGAAGGAGTGCAAGCATGAGAACATAATGAGAGTTCTCGACATAGGCCAAGAAGAAGATGGAGATTATATGGTTCTAGAGCACTTGTGCGATGCCAGGGACCTCCAGTATGAGCGATTCTACTACAAACTCTCTGACGTAGGGTTGATCAAGGAAACCATACGGCAGCTCCTGGTGGGCTTGGCAAGCTTGCACGAGCGAGAGGTTGTGCATCAGGACATTGTGCCCGCTTGTATCAGATTCGAGCTCAATCATAGCAACTTTGTGGTGAAGCTGGGAGATTTTCACTGCTCAAGGAGGCTATCAACTCCACCAAATGTAGATACTATGGGGGGCTCAATGGGATTCACTGCTCCTGAAGTTATCTCCCGAGAGACGGAGAAGATAGGGAAAGGTGTGGATATGTGGGGTGTTGGAGCTGTGCTTGCAAATATGCTCTTAGGAGAGAACCCTTTTCTTGAAGGTATTGATTTGAGTTTGAGCTGCGATGCAAACAAGGCAAAGGTGATGGACAATATGAAAAAGTTCTTGAAGAGGGATTGGTATGAGATGATTGAAGACGAGGATGCAGTGGACTTGCTGCGATGTTTATTAGTTTGGGATCCAGACAAGAGGATTACTGCGGAACAAGCTTTGAAATCAATGTATTTCAAAGTGAGACCTCAAGATATCGAAAAGAAAAGAGTGGTGGTACCTGTTGTCAAAGAAGAAAAGGAAGAAGAAAAGGTGGTGCCGAAGAGTATTGATTATTTCAAAGAAGAAAGGGAAGAACTAATGATGGTGGGTCTTTTCATAATGTTTGCCATAGCTGTCATCATATATTTTAGTTTATATACAACATAAAGGTGGCAAACCCTTAAGTTGTAACGAGTTTTTAAAATCAAAACTATTTTATTATCTAAATGCTCCGGCTAGTTGTAACAAGTAAATTGGCGCCTAATGTAGACAATCTCTTCGAGCATGTCTTGGTACGTGAATGGCCTCACGGCGGCCTTCAATCCAGTCCCTGGCTCGAAGTTCCAGTTCTTGCTCTCATCCCTGTCATCGTCGAGCTGATCGAAGTGGTGGAAATAGAGCTCTCGCGGGTAGCGTCGCAGCGCAGCATAGCTCGGGGTCACCTCCCGGTAGAAATCACGCTGCCAGGACGTGAGGTTTCTCTTCCGCAGTGGATGGGGCTTGCCACCAAAGTAGCTCTCCTTCATCCTCCTCTTCCTCTTCTTTCGCATCCCCACTTCTTCCTCGTTGCCCTGTTTAGCCGCAATTCCACTTCCTTCTTCTAGAATACGATGGTCTCCTCCTGGTTCTTCTTCCTCTTCCTGGGACTCGAAGCTTTCGAGCTGCTCTTCGTCGTATTTTCTAAGCTGTGCCAGCGCTTCACCCAGATCAAGCTCTTGATCACCAGCTTCTTCACTAGCAATATCATCGTCTTCGTCATCACGACCATCTTCTTCTTCTTCGTCATCGCCACCTTCCTCGTCTTCGTCATTTTCATCTCCATCTTCACTACCATGATCTTGCTCGCCATCCTCGTCTTTGCCTTCCTCCTCCTCATCTTCATCATCCCACACACTCTCGTCACTCGCAAACTCAACCTGTCGCCCCGTGGCCTCGGCCTCGGCCTCCTTCCGTCGCCACTCCTTGGTAAACGGATGAAGGAACTGCACGGGCTGGCCATTCATCATATGCTCCAGCACCAGCGATCTCCTCTCTTCATCCAGCCCCACCCACGCCGCCACAATCTCCGCCTCGCTCGCACTCACCTCCACGCCCAGCCTCTCGCACAGCCGGTAGTAGAAGCTCTTCTTTCTCCTCTCTTCCACGTCCTCGCCCTCGATCCCATCCAGCTCCGTCTCGGGATTGAGAAGCTCGAACAGCCCACGCATGTAATCCTCCTGCGGCTCATATCTACGCAAGAAAACGATCAGACAATCGATCGCCAAGAACAAGAGCTCGAGGGTGGTAGTACCTCATCTGATACTCCGGCCTCTTCACCCAGATCAAATCCGGCCGGCACCACGACACACACCTCGTCACCCCGTGCCGCGCCCGAAGATCCACCCTCTCGCCAACGTCCCACTTATCGAGCTTGGCATCGCCAGACTCCACAACGACGTGCGCCGCCAGCGTCCACGTCTTCCACGGCGGCTGCCATCGCCGCGGCTTGCTCGCCCCCCTCACGAACACGTAGAAAAAATGCATCTTGGCCGAGTCCATCATGTCGAGCTTCTTGTCGAAGATCCGGCACTGCTGGAACTTGTGCATCTCCTCCATCTCCTCGTCGTCCCGGACCGACGAGTAGAGGAACACCATGTCCTTGTCGTGCACGGACCCAAACTTGGGCTCCCCGAAGATCATCCCGCGATGGCGGTATGGCCCGTAAGCTCCATACTTGTAGTAGTCGTCGTTGTAGACGATGTCCGCCTCGGCCAGGACCTTGTCGATCACCTCCGGCGATGGACCCAAGTCCTTGGGCTTCCTGGGACCGTCGAAGCGTCCCCCGGGACTCACCCTCTTCTTCTTCCCGGCGCTCACACTCACGTCTCTTGGAGTTGCTCTTTGGGTGATCGAGGTGAGGGAGATTGAGCTTACCCGAGTGATGGGAGGGATGGATGGAGCTGGATTGGCGCTGTGAGAGCTCCTGAGCTCTTGGCCTAGGAAGGGGCTGCCGCTTTGGAGGAGAATGCAAGAGGACATTGACGAGCCCTAGAAACAGAGTATGCCAGGGGAAGGGAGAAGGAAGGCCAATTCGCAACCGATTCGACAAATTCTCGATGCTAGGGGATGGAGCTGGAAGAGATCTGGGAGCCCAACTCTCTGGATCTCGAGAAAGTTCGCGCGCGAGAGAGAATTTTACTGTAGAATCTCTCAAGAACGAGAAGAAAAGCGATTGGCATTTCTTTTTGCCCTGTGAATGGCAAGATTTGGATCCACTGTATTCTCCCGAGGGTGTTCTTCATCGGCATTTGCATCGGCCCTTAAGAATTGCACCGAAGTGTCCGAGGGTAAGCACATCCACAGCCAAATCGTTTCTGCCGGTTTGGATAGATCCACCTATGTTGGAAATCACGTCTTGGAAATGTATGGCAGGCTTGGAAGCGTGGAAGAAGCCCAAGAAGCGTTTGAGAAAGTGTTTGAGAAGAACCACATTTCGTGGACACTCTTCATTGCGGCACTTGCCCAGAACGGGCATTGCAAGGAGGCACTTGCAACCTTCAAGAAAATGGATCTGGAGGGTGTCAAGCCGAAGAGGCTCGCGTTCCTGCGAGTGATCGGAGCTTGCTGTGACGCCAGAGACGCAACCGAGGGCAGAAAAGTCCATGCACGGGTTCTGGAAGACGCTGTTCTGGCGAGTGATGTGTTTTTGAGCGCGGCACTCATCAACATGTATGGGAAGTGTGGCTGCCTGGACAAGGCCGAGATGGTGTTTGGTTCCATCGCTTCCAAGGACGATTTCTCGTGGACTTCGATGATAAGAGCATACGTGGAGCACGAAGAGTTTGATCTGGCGCTGGAGATCTACATGGAGTTTCTGGTGGAAGGAGGCAAACCAGACGCGTCAACTTTCAAGAACATCCTGAGAGCTTGCACTAGATTGGAAGAGAAATCTCTCCCACAAGGCAGGCTCGTCCACTCCCAGATCCTCGAGTCCGGGCTCGGCTCAAACTTGGCGCTCGTCAACCGCCTCGTCTATCTCTATGGAAGCTCCGGGTGCTTTGAGGAGGCCATGGATCTGCTAGACCGCATGAATCCACCGGAGGACGTCCCATGGAACGCAATGGTGGCTGCGTTGTCCCAGCGCGGCAAGAACAGGCAAGCTCTCGAGCTCTTCAACCGGACGAGTTTGGAGGGAGTGAAGCCGAGCGGCGTGACATTCGTGAGTGGAATCGATGCCTGCTCGGATGGTGGCGATGAGCAGCAAGGCCGAGCGATCCATGCGCGAGCTCTCGAGGCCGGATTCGGCAGCGACGAGGTGGTGACCGGATGCTTGATCAACATGTACGGAAAGTGTGGAAATCTCGAGCAAGCGAGGCGGATGCTGGAAGCTAGCGGCTGGAACAACTTGGTTTCGTGCACTTCCTTGATCTGGGCCTACTGCCAGCACGGTCTTCTCGAAAACGCTCTCGATGTCTTCCACCGGGTCGAGCAGGGAGGGATCAAGGCCAACAAGGTGACGCTCGTGAGCGTAGTTGCCGCGTTTTGGAGCTCGGATTTCCTGGATCGAGGGCGAGCCATGCACGCTCGTTTGATCGAGCTCGGGCACTCATCGGACGTGATCGTCACCAACGCGCTCATCGGCATGTATGGAAAGTGTGGAAGCTTGCCCGACGCGAAGATGATCTTCGCGAACGCTCGCCGGAAGAACGCCGTGTCGTGGAACTCGATCATCGGAGCTTGCTCGCAGCAGGGAGATGGCAAGAGCGCATTGGACTTGTTCGCGAGGATGGACCTCTCGGGGTCCTCTCCGACGACCATCACGCTCGCAAACGTCCTGGAAGCTTGCGTCCGGATTAACGATCTGCCTAGAGGAAAGGTGATCCATCTGGAAATCCGGGGATCCATGCTCGAGCACGATCCAAACGTGAGGAGCTCGCTACTAAACATGTATACCAAGTGTGGCAGCCTCGTCGATGCCGAGAAGATCTTCCAGCGCTGGCAAAGCTCTTGCGTGGTGACATGGACGAGCATGATCGCGGCCTATGCCAAGCACGCTCGATTCGAGGACTCCCTCAAGCTCGGCCGGAGGATGGAGATGGAGGGCGTCAAGTTTAACGAGGTGACGTTCCTGACCGTGATCTTCGCTTGCAGCCACGCCGGATTCGTGGAGCAAGGCTGCCACTACTTCGTGTCTATGACGAGGGAGCGTGGGATGACGCCGAGCTTGGAGCAGTACAGCTGCGTGGTGGATCTTCTGGCGCGAGCCGGATGGATTGAGCAAGCGCTGGACTTCATCGAGAGGAGGATGCATCTCCCCCCAAACGCCGCGACTTGGATCGCACTGCTGAATGCTTGTAAAATCCATCATGATCTCCAGAGGGCCGTGATGGTGGCAGAGAGAATCATCGAGCTATCGCCTGGGAATTCGTCGGCGTGCTCGCTATTGCAGGATGTTTGCAATGAAGCAGGGATCACGCAGTCGGATATTTTGGCCTCATGACTGTCTCAATATTTCTCCAAACATTGCAAAGATCACGTTGGCTAGAACTATCACGCATGCATGGGGGAAAACAATGAAGAAAATGGTCCTATAGTACCTTTACAATTGTCTTTCAAGCTTTATCTTTCTTCACCGCGGCTTTTTTCTTGCTGCTCTTCTGGCTCTGCTTTAGCTTCGCCAGTCCCGGAGCGCTCACCTTCACATTTCCAATCATGCACGCTACCAGATCCGGCTCCGCCACCGCTTTCATCAATTCTTTCTCTCTTGGAAGCACGTCCGACGAGCGAATGAAAGCGTCCATAGCCATTTTCGCTCCTGGAAGCAGCAAACGAGTGAAACCAAGCGAAAGAAAACCACTACTTACCTTTGCCTTTCTTCGAAGGCCCTGGTGTGATCTTTGCGTGGTACTTGTAGTTCTGGAGAGCACTGTAAGGCCCGCACACCGGTACCGCGTAGAGCAGGATGTCATTCGGAAGGGGCCTTCCAGTCAGAGCGTCCAGCTCCGTTAGCTTCTCCCTTTCTTCCTCGTCCAGATCCACAATGTTCTCCTCGGCATTGATCGCCGCAATTTCGCTTTCAGTTTGCTTCGAGTCCGGGCACTCGGATGCAACATGTCCTCTTTTCTTGCAGGTGTAGCAAATCACGGGTTTCTTTGCTGCGTCTGTAAAGCTTGCAAACTTCAAGAACGAAAATTAGAGTACAAGACGAACCTTCGTTCTTCACGCTCGGTTTTTCCGGTTGCTCCTTGGCTGATGGTTTCTCTCGTCCTGCAGACTGTTTGTAATTACGTTTCAAGTCAGTTCCAGGAAGAACAAAATCAAAAGAGAAAACCTTACAGAAAGTAGGACCTGTTCCCGTCATCTTGCTCGGCATACTTCTTGTCGATGAGATTTCCTTTCCTTTCTGCCAGCGGACCACCATCTTGGCCTAGGCAGCCACACTTCCCATAAGAACACATCACTCGCCAGAACAGCGTCTTCCAGAACCCGTGCATGGATTTTTCTGCCCTCGGTTGCGTCTCTGCAAGCTCCGATTACTCGCAGGAACACGAACCTCTTGGGCTTGACACCCTCCAGATCCATTTTCTTGAAGGTTGCAAGTGCCTCCTTGCAATGCCCGTTCTGGGCAAGTGCCGCAATGAAGAGTGTCCATGAAATGTGGTTCTTCTCGAACACTTTCTCAAACGCTTCTTGAGCTTCTTCCACGCTTCCAAGCCTGCCATACATTTCCAAGACGTGATTTCCAACATAGGTGGATCTATCCAAACCGGCAGAAACGATTTGGCTGTGGATGTGCTTACCCTCGGACACTTCGGTGCAATTCTTAAGGGCCGATGCAAATGCCGATGAAGAACACCCTCGGGAGAATACAGTGGATCCAAATCTTGCCATTCACAGGGCAATGCCAATCGCTTTTCTTCTCGTTCTTGAGAGATTCTACAGTAAAATTCTCTCTCGCGCGCGAACTTTCTCGAGATCCAGAGAGTTGGGCTCCCAGATCTCTTCCAGCTCCATCCCCTAGCATCGAGAATTTGTCGAATCGGTTGCGAATTGGCCTTCCTTCTCCCTTCCCCTGGCATACTCTGTTTCTAGGGCTCGTCAATGTCCTCTTGCATTCTCCTCCAAAGCGGCAGCCCCTTCCTAGGCCAAGAGCTCAGGAGCTCTCACAGCGCCAATCCAACTCCATCCATCCCTCCCATCACTCGGGTAAGCTCAATCGCCCTCACCTCGATCACCCAAAGAGCAACACCAAGAGACGTGAGTGTGAGCGCCGGGAAGAAGAAGAGGGTGAGTCCCGGGGGACGCTTCGACGGTCCCAGGAAGCCCAAGGACTTGGGTCCATCGCCGGAGGTGATCGACAAGGTCCTGGCCGAGGCGGACATCGTCTACAACGACGACTACTACAAGTATGGAGCTTACGGGCCATACCGCCATCGCGGGATGATCTTCGGCGAGCCCAAGTTTGGGTCCGTGCACGACAAGGACATGGTGTTCCTCTACTCGTCGGTCCGGGACGACGAGGAGATGGAGGAGATGCACAAGTTCCAGCAGTGCCGGATCTTCGACAAGAAGCTCGACATGATGGACTCGGCCAAGATGCATTTTTTCTACGTGTTCGTGAGGGGGGCGAGCAAGCCGCGGCGATGGCAGCCGCCGTGGAAGACGTGGACGCTGGCGGCGCACGTCGTTGTGGAGTCTGGCGATGCCAAGCTCGATAAGTGGGACGTTGGCGAGAGGGTGGATCTTCGGGCGCGGCACGGGGTGACGAGGTGTGTGTCGTGGTGCCGGCCGGATTTGATCTGGGTGAAGAGGCCGGAGTATCAGATGAGGTACTACCACCCTCGAGCTCTTGTTCTTGGCGATCGATTGTCTGATCGTTTTCTTGCGTAGATATCAGCCGCAGGAGGATTACATGCGTGGGCTGTTCGAGCTTCTCAATCCCGAGACGGAGCTGGATGGGATCGAGGGCGAGGACGTGGAAGAGAGGAGAAAGAAGAGCTTCTACTACCGGCTGTGCGAGCGGCTGGGCGTGGAGGTGAGTGCGAGCGAGGCGGAGATTGTGGCGGCGTGGGTGGGGCTGGATGAAGAGAGGAGATCGCTGGTGCTGGAGCATATGATGAATGGCCAGCCCGTGCAGTTCCTTCATCCGTTTACCAAGGAGTGGCGGCGTAAGGAGGCCGAGGCCGAGGCCACGGGGCGACAGGTTGAGTTTGCGAGTGACGAGAGTGTGTGGGATGATGAAGATGAGGAGGAGGAAGGCAAAGACGAGGATGGCGAGCAAGATCATGGTAGTGAAGATGGAGATGAAAATGAAGAAGACGAAGATGGTGGCGATGATGAAGACGAAGGTGGCGATGACGAAGAAGAAGAAGATGGTCGTGATGACGAAGACGATGATATTGCTAGTGAAGAAGCTGGTGATCAAGAGCTTGATCTGGGTGAAGCGCTGGCACAGCTTAGAAAATACGACGAAGAGCAGCTCGAAAGCTTCGAGTCCCAGGAAGAGGAAGAAGAACCAGGAGGAGACCATCGTATTCTAGAAGAAGGAAGTGGAATCGCAGCTAAACAGGGTAACGAAGGAGAAGCGGGGATGCGAAAGAAGAGGAAGAGGAGGATGAAGGAGAGCTACTTTGGTGGCAAGCCCCATCCACTGCGGAAGAGAAACCTCACGTCCTGGCAGCGCGATTTCTACCGGGAGGTGACCCCGAGCTATGCTGCGCTGCGACGCTACCCGCGAGAGCTCTATTTCCACCACTTCGATCAGCTCGACGATGACAGGGATGAGAGCAAGAACTGGAACTTCGAGCCAGGGACTGGATTGAAGGCCGCCGTGAGGCCATTCACGTACCAAGACATGCTCGAAGAGATTGTCTACATTAGGCGCCAATTTACTTGTTACAACTAGCCGGAGCATTTAGATAATAAAATAGTTTTGATTTTAAAAACTCGTTACAACTTAAGGGTTTGCCACCTTTATGTTGTATATAAACTAAAATATATGATGACAGCTATGGCAAACATTATGAAAAGACTCACCATCATTAGTTCTTCCCTTTCTTCTTTGAAATAATCAATACTCTTCGGCACCACCTTTTCTTCTTCCTTTTCTTCTTTGACAACAGGTACCACCACTCTTTTCTTTTCGATATCTTGAGGTCTCACTTTGAAATACATTGATTTCAAAGCTTGTTCCGCAGTAATCCTCTTGTCTGGATCCCAAACTAATAAACATCGCAGCAAGTCCACTGCATCCTCGTCTTCAATCATCTCATACCAATCCCTCTTCAAGAACTTTTTCATATTGTCCATCACCTTTGCCTTGTTTTTACCATAGCTCGAACTCAAATCAATACCTTCTCTCCTAAAAGCATCTTTGCAAACACAACTCCAACACCTCACATATCCACACCTTTCCCTATCTTCTCCGTCTCCCGGGAGATAACTTCAGGAGCAGTGAATCCCATTGACTCCCCCATAGTATCTACATTTGGTGGAGTTGATAGCCTCCTTGAGCAGTGAAAATCTCCCAGCTTCACCACAAAGTTGCTATGATTGAGCTCGAATCTGATACAAGCGGGCACAATGTCCTGATGCACAACCTCTCGCTCGTGCAAGCTTATGGTTTCCTTGATCAACCCTGTCTCAGAGAGTTTGTAGTAGAATCGCTCATACTGGAGATCCCTGAAATCGCACAAGTGCTCTAGAACCATATAATCTCAATCCTCTTCTTGGCCTATGTCGAGAACTCTCATTATTTTCTCATGCTTGCACTCCTCCATGAGCTCAACCTCTCGGACCATATGATTATAGTTGTATGAACACACACTGTTTACTACGTGCCAATCACCCAGACGTGACCACCATTTACTTCCATCAATCTTCTTGATTAGGACTTTATCGCCTTCTTGGTTACAACCCTCACATTATTATAAAACCTATCAATTTGGATACCATCACAAAAACTATACTTCCCTAGCACCTTCTTCTTCGACTCCATCACACAAACCCTATTAGTCCTAGCGTTTTTATAGTGCCCAATTAAGGGGAATCTCAAATAAAACAATATATGATACAAAAGAAAAATAAAAATGCGCGCTCGCATCACAAGTATCCACCAAGGGAGAGGCCGAGAATGCATCATTCTCCTTGAAACACCGCACCACCGCCAGTATAGCTCCACTCGGGTTGCGCACCACTGGCCTTGAGTTGGACTGTGAAAGTTGATGCACTGCTAGCTTCGTCTTTTCCTGTTCAAAGCATTAAGTTCCAAGACTTGAATATTAGGTGTTTTATATGCTTACCATCACAAGTTGTTGAGTTTTAAAGTTTTCTCTTTCCCTGACGAGGTTACTCGCTTCACTTCGTGAATGCCTGTCCTCAAGAGCGCTCTTGATTGCATTTATCTTGTCGCTAAAAGGTAGCAGCTGCCTGCCGTTGAGATCCTGAAATGCAATGATCAAAGTAACATGAAATGATAAGTTTGTAGTAGTTTTCACGCACCCTTCTATGTAGATCGAGAAACTTTTGTCTGTCCTCCATCGCCTTCAGAGATTGTTCTTTCTCGCTTTCTTGTGTTGAGCTTCGTTGCCTCTTCCTTCAGAGACATGACAGCGGAATCTACTGCCTTTTGTCTATCCTCCACATAACGCCGCTGAGCATCCAGTTCTGAATGGGCTTTTCTTAGCTGCTGCTTGAGCTCCTCAGCGTCGTTCTCGATTTGCGTAATTCCTTTGAGGAACTTGCACTCCATCTCGAACAAGAATGACTCTTTTTCAGCCGCTTTAAATTCCTTGTCACGAAGCACGTCCATCAGCTGTGCGGTTTCGTTGCGTTTCTTGTCAAGTCTCTCTTTCATCTAGTTGTTCAAACTGCGTCCTCACGGATCCCAGGTATTCACGTTTCTTTGATAAAGCTGCTTGTTCTTCTATGTCCGGTTGTAGAGCTCTCTACATAAATCACCCCGGACGTTAAAGATTTTGATATCCAGTTTTCTCTCTCCGGATGAGAAGAAGGCCGAACAGCAGGAAGCTCAGCAGACCCCGCAAGATGCACGCTTGCAGAAGAAAAAGGATGACGAGGGGTTTACTTTGAAGTCGATCTTGCTAGACAGCTTTAGCTATGGACCAGCGGTGTTTGAGCACGTAATTCTGGACGCTGGCCTGCAACCAAATATGAAAGTTTGTGACGCTTCCAACAGGTCGATGGTATCTGAGAAGGATCTTCACTCGCTGCTGGAAGCTATCAAAAGATTCGAAGATTGGCTGGAAAGTGTGACGACAGGTGATTTTACACCGGAAGGATATATCACGTTTCATCCAAACAAGACTGCCAAGAAGAAGAACGCAGAGTCCGCGGAAGAGAAGGTGCATATGCATCTTACGTAATGGTCTGGAGTTGATTGTGGGCCTTTTCAGATGTTCGATGAGTTTTCTCCACTCCTATTGAAGCAGAGCGCTCACCGGGAGTATGTAAAGTTCGACACTTTTGACGCGGCGCTGGATGAATTCTTCAGTAAGATTGAGGGCCAGCGACTGGACCAGCAGTGAAAGACACAAGAGGATTCTGCCTACTCAAAGCTTGAAAAAATTCGTGCTGATCAGGTACCGAACACTGCAATAAATTTTAAATGTTCTCAACTCGTAACTGACATGTAGAGAAGTCGAGTGGAATCTCTGAAACGTGAAGTTGATCAAGCAGTACACACAGCCGAGCTCATCGAACGATCTAGCCATTGATGCGGTTCGTGCTGCGCTTGCAAATGGCATGGATTGGAAAGACTTGGGACGCACGATAAACGAAGAAAAGCTGGCAACCACGTAGCGGGACTCATAATCTCGACGATATGGATGACGATAATAAGGTATGGCTTGGCCAATCTTATGGTTGTTTGA